GAGTTGGATGAACTTGGACTCAGTATGTGTGCATCGAAGAAGAATGCGCCGAGTCTTCACTAAGCTCGAGGAGTAGAAACGGGTATAAAACTAGAACAGATGGAAGGGACTCGGCGAGTTGGCGAGCCAACTCGGCAAGTCCAGTCAATCAGGAAGTTGACTTTGGCTAGGAAGTTGACTTTACCCTAAGATTAGTTATCAGTATTTGACTTAGTGTTTATGGAAATTGTAGTCGGGAAGTTCCGGTTCAGCAGTCAAGCGCTCAGCAAGTAGATTTTCAGTAGCTACTTCAAGGTGAGTTACCTTTTAGTAGCAGTGGGTCTAAGGCCATAATGTCGGCCCACTAGTAGGTATTGTATGATTAGATGATTGTCTCTGTGATATTCATCTAGGGTTGCTACTACCTGTGTTATGTTTATGTGTTTGTATGATATGATGTTATGTGCTAGTGATAGTAGGGGAGATAGTCCCCAGGTTACCGGTCGATAGGGCCGAAGGGGCAGTCATGCCCAGCCATGCTAAATAGATTATGTGATACGTGTTAGGTGGTAGTGGTAGGGGCGAAATAGTCCCCAGCATCCGGTCGAAAGGACCGAAGGGGAGACCAGCACCCAGATATGCTAGTCAGTATCCGGTCGAAAGGACCGAAGGGGAGACCAGCACCCAGATATGCTAGTTGGTATCCGGTCGAAAGGACCAAAGGGGAGACCAGCACCCAGATATGCCAGTCAGTATCCGATCGAGAGGACCGAAGGGGAGACCAGCACCCATATATACTAGTCAGTATCCGGTCGAGAGGACCGAAGGGGTAGTTCGAGCACCCAGATATGCTTGATAATATTTGTATGTTATGTGGTTATTTGGTATGCGGTACGATGGGGGAACTCACTAAGCTTCGTGCTTACGGTTTTTAGTTTTTTTTTTCAGGTACCTCTTCAGCCAAGGGGAAGGAGTTGACGCGGTAGCGGCATATCACACACATGCTCTTGTTTATCCGCACTATGAGACATTTTGGGATTTATACTCTGATATTATTATGATTTACGTTCTGGTTTACAAACGCGAGGCGTGTTTTATTAAATGATAAGGTCGAATGATATTTCGTTACAAATGTTTTCCAAATCACTTAATTAAAAATTAAATTTTTGGCCCATAATTTTTGGGATGTTACAATAGGAGATGGTTGGACGTGGTAAAGGATTACGATTGTAAGATCCTGTACCACCCGGGCAAAGCTAATGTTGTAGCTGATGCCCTGAGCCGTAGGGTGGAGAGTGCCCTTATTTAAGACATTTATATACGGTTGACAGTGATGACTCCGGTATTGAGGGTTGTGCAATGATTGGGTCAAGATTTATATTTGGTGTACTATACTCGTAGTCTTCTTCACCTCCGTCCAAGTTACCCTGGTACTCACTCATTATTGCATCTCGTTCCTGAGCAACTACATTTGGCAAGGTGGTGTGTATCGCCCGAGCAATCTCATCAACCAACTCTTTTCTAGTGATCATGTTGGTCGTACGACCCCTTCCGCGACCTCGACCTCGACCGCGGTAGGAGCTGGAGCTGCCCTGGCCAGAAGGTGAAGTTATCGGTGTTGTTACAGCTCCTCTCCCTCTTCTTCTACCCCTGCCTCCTCCTCTTCCTTGGCCACGTCCACGACTCGCATTAGGGATCAGCAAAATTTTCGGTACATCTCTACGCGCTCTAACATAAGCTCCAATTGGGATGTGTTCTTCTTCCTAGTAACCCTAGAAAACCTTCCAGATCTCCTTGAAGACATGATACCTACAAGCGAGATGTGGTCTAATTTAGTCGTTTAATTACCTCTCGTTCCTTCCGTTTAAGCTTAAGTGTTATGCAAAAACTTAATATGCTTAAACATCACTATGATACCAACTTGTAACACCCCAATTTTCAAGATAATAAATATCAAAATATAACTATTCAACCATCTCCCAAGATCGATTCTAACACTATTGGCTTAAAACTACAGCAGAAGAAAATAAAATTAATATAGTCTTTAACCGAAGAGCCTCGGGTGTTACGTCTTTGCAGAACTCCTTTGTCGTCTTGTTGATCAATCCTTCTTCCTAGCCTTCTTATTGCCACTTGTTAAATAGTTTCCTGCCTTACGCACATTTAAAGTTTCTAAAAGGGTACCCCTAGAGCCTAGTGAGTTCGTGTTGCACATATATGTCCATCACTTAAAAAAACAAAAGGTTTTATTATATATCTCCAATAAATCATACTACAAACATATCACCCGATGATCTAATTTTGGGGAATGATTAATTATCCAGTGAAAGAACCAAATGTTCATTTCTCTTCTCCTAGAGACAACCCATCATCTATTGTACTCAAGTATTTTAAATATCTAAGGAAATGGGTATGATTCTCAATTCTCATCCCCGCCAATCACACACATCCGTAATGCTCACGGGGATTAAACACCCACCCGTTCCCGCTAAACATGTCATCCAAAAAACGACAATAGATAAACAATTCAAAATAACATTTGCACACAACCATACGTATCATAAAATATATTGTGAATAAATAATTGAAAAACCTCATATAAACCATATGATAAACATTTATGTGCGAGCAACCACGGAACACGAAAATACTCACCTTGCAACCGATAATCTGCACCCTATATTCCACAAACAAATTTTCTAAAGCAATCGTCCTAGAAAAGAATCATACGTGATCGTTTCGTTTCCATCACATATATGTCTCCATTGGCCAACCAATCATTATTTCATCATGTTAATTAAAATGTTCGTAACAATTTTAATAAATATATTATTATCTTTTTTTTCTTTCATGTCGTCGTTTCCATTTAATGAGGTTTTATCCCTAAAAGATTTAATACTCAAATGTCAAAATAACTAAACCTTAAAATGAAGAGTTTGTTTGAATAATAACACCAAGTAATATTAACATCAATATAAAGTAGCAAATTTAAAATAATGACTATTTATGTGACGGTGTAGGAAATTGAAAACTACCAAATTATAAAAACTAAATGGGTTATTTTTATATCTTTTGTTATTATATACAAGTAACTCATTTGTTATCTATTTGTGAAAACTAAAAAACGCAAACTTTTCAACAATAGTGGAACCATTTACGGAAATATCATTTTGATCAAATGAAACATCAAGAAAACCGTTTCAATAGAAAATTCCAAATTATTTTCTTCTCTACCCTAACAGGAAAACGTTTTCGGTAATTTTTCACAGTAAAACTTAAAAATTGTTGTCAAATAAATTTTATAAAACCACCATTAATCATCTCTATTTCATTCTAACATATTTGTATACTAAATCTTGAATAATTTATTATAAAGCTAGTTTAAATTCATCATTTTCTTTTACCAAAAACATAACATTTGTTTTTCATCAAATTCGATTATTTCCTAGCCGAAAAGAGACATAGGATTGAACCAAAATACATAGTCAAATTCTATAAACCTACTCAAGCAACTTCATCAAGCTTAAATCGAAAATACATACCTTAATTTCTAAAATAGCTCCGAAAACCTTCACGAACTTCAAACCCCAATTTCTATTTTGTTTCTCCAACCTTTCTTACAATTTTTATGGGCATTCCAATTTAATTCTCGTGCCTTTTATAATGTTCATGTTTATAACCTTTCTAATTAACCCAAAATTTCAAATTTATGACTCTAATCAAAGTGATAGGTTTTGAAATTAAAATTCCATAATTTCTCTATTTACTCCTAATTAATTTCTTAATCATAATTATAATAATATATATAGACCATATATTTATATATTTATTTTAATTTGAATTATCACATTATTTTGGTATTTTTGTATTAAGGGGGTACTTCAATTTTTTATTATTTTGATTCCCGGTGTAGGAGACTACGACGTGAGGATGTTTTTTTTTTTTAATTTCAACCCACCGAGAGTCCAAGTCATATGGATGTGTTTTTATTTGAGGCATTTAAACTACCGGGTCGGTTTCCTTTATCCATTTTTGACATACCCACTAAATTTGGACTCACTATATCTGATACCCATTTGACTTAAAGTGATACTGACTATTTTAACATACACCAATTTCGGTTCAAGATCCAGACCCAGTTTATGGGTTTGAAGTTCATCCCTAATTGACATTACCCATTGGAATATTATTACTTGCGGATTACCACTATATTTAAAATTGATTTGCATTATTGATTTCATTTCAATCTACAAACTTCTCTTATTTATTGTAGCTTCTAATAGCATCTCCAATGGTATGTTAAAAATAGGTCGATAGAGAGGTATAATACTTCGAATCAAACTTAAAATCACTAAAACAACTTAACGAACCAAGCATTTTTTGTTTCGATTTGTTTAAATCAAGAGACAATGAAATCTCAAACACCTACTGAAAATCACTAAAACAACAACAACAACGGCGCACCCGTCGCTGCTTGGCAAATGATACGACCTTATTCGAGAGGGTCAATCTCCACAAAAGATTAAGCACAGATAAGAGAATTTTGGAGAAGTTTTTGATATATATCCTTCAATGCAAATTACATTCTAAATAATGAAAAGAAAGCTTTCATGCTACCACGAAAATAGGAACCGAATAACATGGTGGAGACTTATTCTAATTAAGTAGTGGCTCCTAAACTAATGCATGCATGATAAAGTTACTTGTTCCAATGGATGGACTTGTCATTGGCGAAGAAAGTTAAGCGATCAAATATGTACAAGAGGTATAGTTGATTACTCTCTGAAGTCATTATCTATTTTTTTTTATCCAAAGGAAAGACAAAATATGGATATCATCGATGATCTTAGGTGTTGAGGATGTTTTCCCCTGAAAAATAAGCGACTTCTAAGAGTTCCAAATAAGCCAAAGCACCAAAAAGATTATCGCACCAAGCATCTTTTGTTTTGATTTGTTGAAACCAAGAGAAAAACGAAATCTCCAAACATCATAAGCAAAAGAAAAATAATAGAAGATGTGAGCTTTCAACTCATGTGCAACATTATAAAACTTACAATGGCTTTTTTTAAGAGATTGCACAATAAAGGTCTCTAGAGACAAATCCTTCACACAAAGATAACAACCTTAAAAGATGTTCTTCTACTTAACAGAAATGGAACCATACATCAATCGAGCCCAAGTACAAATGTCCAAAAATCAAAAAATTGTCATTATTTTCTCTACACACTAGGATGCCTAATCCAACTTTTGGTGGATTTTTATAGCTTTTCTAGGGTTTCTATCTTGCTTTGTGAGGTACTTTGGAAATGGTTTGTTTTGTTTTTTTTTTAAAGGAATATTCGGTTTAAGATGTCGTCAATCCAATGGACGTTTTTGGGGTTTTTAAACCACCAACAAGATTAAAAATTCAATGGTAAATTGCACATTTCTTCAAGGTTCCAAAGATGATGATCAACTTCACTTTTCAAACCCAATTCCAAATCCTCCCAACAACAACCAATCATACAAACTCTCAAATTTCAATACAAAGGGAGGGGGGAAAGTGACCTATATGTCTTCCTGTCTCTATCCTTCTACTTCCATGATTCAAATCTCAAACCTCTACCCACAAATCTACACTCAAATTTTTTCCCCAATTTTACACACTGTATACACCACCAACAAACATTCCACTAAATCCACGCAACCTCCGGTGCACTACTACTCCTAGCTCGAGCTTCCGCCAGTGAAACCGCCATTGCCAACATCATCTGCTCCTCAAAGCTCTCAGGAACTATACTTCCACCACCTCCACCACCACCACCCATCTCATCATGTCCCCCATACTCATTATTATTATCATCATCATACCCATATGAAGTTTCAATATTGTTGTTGTTTCCCCATCCTCCATCTTGAAGATGAGTATTGAGAGAGGTGGATTCGGGATGCATGATGTTGTATGTTGATGACATGTTGCCATTGTAGTTGTTGTAATTGGTGGAAGATTCCCCACTCATTTGTTGGCGTTCGGCGAGGGCGGCTATGGCGCACGCTAGACCACCGGAAGGCGATGAGGATGAGGATGAGGATGTGGATGATAATGATGATGACTCAGCTTGTGGGGCCATGGACGCGAGAACACGAACTTCTGTTGCGTATTTTGCTAATTGTGCTGCGTCACCGTAATTTGGATTCTGGCGTTGGGTTTTTCCATCCTCCTATGAATAATAAAAGAATTTGAAGTAAATTACTGAAATTGTTCCTATGGTTTGGTCAAAATTGTACGTTTGATCCCTAACTTTTTTTTTTTGAACTCGAATCGTCCCTATGGTTTGATTTTATGGCGTTTTTCGTCCCTATGATTTGGTCAAAATTGCAATTTTGGTCCCTAGCTTTATGTATGTAAGGGACGAAAAACGCAACAAAATCAAACCACAGGAACGATCGGAGTGCAAAAAAAAGTTACGGACCAAACGTACAATTTTGACCAAACCATAGGGACGATTTCAGTAATTTACTCAAGAATTTAATATGAATTGATAAAAAAAGAGTAAATTACACGAATGGTCCCTATGGTTTAAGGTAATTTGCACGTTTGGTCCCAAACTTATTTTTTTAACTCGGAAGGTCCCTACTTTTTGTTTTTGTTACGCGCTTGGTCCCGGTCATACCTAAAAATACTATTATTTAAATAAGAAAAAATGGTGGGGTAGGTAAGGTAAAATGACGGGGTGGGTTGGAGGTGTGTTTATTTAAATAAATTTAAAAAATCAATGGCAAAATAGTATTTTTAGGTAAGACAGGAACCGATCGCATAACAAAAACAAATAGTCAGGACCTTCCGAATTAAAAAAATAAGTTAAGGACCAAACACGCAAATTACCCTAAACCATAGGGACCATTCGTGTAATTTATTCTATATTTATATTAAAATAATTTTTTTTTTATATAATTGTACCTGAAATGACAACCAGATGGCTTCCATTAGCATTATGTTCTCGGGGTCAAGGTCAAACTCGTCATCTCTGCATTTATATAATTTTTTGTCATGTATTTTTTTTAATTAGCGTTATATTTTTAAATATCATATAGTGTCATTTAGAATGTTTTTCATCCTAAAAAAAAAAACAATATTTATAAAATGTTGTAATATTTGAAAATATATAAGATAATTGGATACCTGTTGTCCCTAGGGCGTTGAGGATGTCTAATTATTGTTACACCTGAATTCGGAGCAGAAACAATTTCCTCGCCTTCTGAAGAAGACGTTGCTGCATATATTTAAAAAAAAAAAAAAAAAAAAAACTAATTATAAATTATACCACTAGAAATAAAGAAAAATAAACCATAAAAGATAAAGTTGAAAAAGAGATGAGAAACAAAGTAGAATAACGAAACATTTTACCAAAGGCAAATTGCTGAGAATAGCAATGTACTTTATTTTATTTTACCAATAGAAGCAATACACTTCAATTTTTTTTTTCCATAACAGAAACATATTTACATTTTTGACCCTTGATAGTTACATTTTTATGATACTAGCAATATGTAACCCATAATAGCAACATACTTTCATTTAATAGCTCATGGTATCAACATATTCACCTTTTTTACTAATAATATCAAGAGTAAATTACACGAATGGTCCCTATGGTTTGGGATAATTTACGCGCTTTGTCCTTAACTTATTTTTTTAACTCGGAAGGTCCGTAATGTTTGTTTTTTTTACGCGCTTGGTCTCTAGTGTTTGTTTTTGTTACGCGTTTGGTCCCTATCTTACCTAAAAAGACTATTAATTAATTAGGGAAAATGGTGGGATAGGTAACGTAAGGTGAGGGGGTGGGGTTGGGGTGTGTTTATTTAAATAAATTAAAAAATTAGTGGCAAAATAGTCTGTTTAGATAAGTAGGGACCTTCCGAGTTAAAAATAAGTTAGGGACCAAATGCGCAAATTACCCTAAACCATAGGGACCATTCATGTAATTTGTTGTAATATCAATATGTAACAAATACTAGCAACATACTTGCATTTTGCTACCAATATAGGCAATTTCCTTTATTTGTAATATATTACTATTATCAATCAATAAATAAATAAATTAATAAATACAGATAAGTGTATTGCTATTGTGGATAAAAAACATAAGCTTCTTTTTTTGCATAATGAAAATGTAAGTAAGTTGCTATCAAGGGTTAAATAATGCTAATATCAGTATAAAAGATGTAAATACATTGCAATTAATATTATTGTTAAAAAAAATTGTAATTACATTGTGATTATGTGTAAAAAGTAAAAACAAATGAATATATTTCTACCCTTATGTTTACAAACCTGCTCTAGAGAAATATTCAGCCTCATTTGAATCAATTATCCTGCTTGAAGAGCTTCTCTCTTGTCTTTTTAGCATTCTTTCCTCTTCATCTTGAATTTCTTGTTGTCTCATTCTTATTTTTGCTTCTATCACCCTTTGTTCTTCCTATAACACAATATAAAAATACAAAAAAAATATAAAATTGAGCAATAAAAGATAACCAATAGAATGATGGTTAACTAAGCCTAGTGCTTACAATTTGTTCTTGCCCTTTTTCCTCTTTAGTCTTCACCCCTCTATACTCCACAGCATAGTTTAACGTTTTACAAAAGGGGCATCTTGGTATTGTTAAGAATTGAAAACAACAAATATATATATAATTTGGAACAATAAGAAGAAAACAATAATGATAATTAAACATCGAATAAGGATACTGCGTAGGGCGTGTAGAATTTGGGGTCTTCATCTGTAGGAAACATTCTGATTGAATAACAAAAATGTTAACGATATAATCGTATTGTTTTCAAAGAGCGTAGCTTTGAATGATACAATTACATGATATTTACCTGTACAGATGCCTTTTGTGCAACATCGCGATCTATTTAGACTTGGATAATACTGAAAAATGGTTCAGAAATGGAAATAAACGTATCAGAAAGACGAAATTGAAGAAATACACCTGTAAAAATCAATAGCACATACCAAGAAACAAATCGGGCATTCTTCAAGATCGCAACTGCAGTCATCATCTCCGGGATAGCAAGGAGCGAGCTTGGAATCAAGTATAAGCTTACGAAGCTTCTTGTGATCTACATCCTTGTGTTGATAAAGCCCTTGAGGTCTTGTATACTTCTCGTCCACTAGCTGTCTCCTCCTACCCAACTTATTCCCCATTCAAGATCAAACAAAGCCCAAATCAACTCTATCTCTACTTCAATTTTGTAACAAAACCCTAATTTCTAATTTGACCAATCACAATAGAATTCCCCGTAATACGAAACCACGTTCTTGGAACAAGAAATCCGATGCCCAAGACATCCTGCAAAACCGACAGTAGAAAGAAGGAAAGTTTTTACTTGTACAGGAATCAAGAAACAAATGAAACTGGGAAAAGGGGGAGTTGGGAGTTGATTTGAGCTGGGAAATGTGAATAAGGAAGAACCAAGTTGAAGAAAACCTTGAATTTGTTGAAGTTGGATGAAGATGGTGTTGAGGGAAATCGATAAACGTGCGTGGAGGTTGGTTAGATATAACAGAGAGAAGGGGGTTCCGGTATGGAGATCGAGAGATTTGTAGAGGAGAAGAGGGGACACGATCAGAACTTTCTCTGATTATATACGCGTGTGGTGTAGGAGAGAAGGAGAGAGTGGGTATTGTTTGTGGCTTTGTGCGTATATCATGTTAACTTATTGAGTAATTGTTCTTGTTCTTTGGATTATGCATAATTATAATTCATAATTATCGTATTTTGTTATTTCACATGTGTAATTCTGTTTTGGTGGATTTATCTTTTTTAGTATAATTATCGAATGTAAAGTATTCATAATTATCTTATATGTTATTATCTAATGTAAAGTAGATTTATCTTTTTAGTATAATTATCTAATGTAAAGTGTATATGAATTTTTTTTATTATCTACAACAATAAAATTTGAATCTTTTAACAAGATGGTGAATTTAACCCTCATTTAGGATTAAGTTTAAGTCAAAGGGGAATTAAGTTTAATAAATTTAACCCTCATTTAGTTTAAGAAGAATAGTGGGGGTTGAAAAACATAGTTTGGTGTATCCTAAATAAATAAATATAATTTATATACTTTTATATAAAATAAAAATATCAAAAATAGATGTATGTGTGATTTCAATATAATTGTAAAATTAGTAATGTATCATATACCATAAAACAAGATAAATGAGATGTGTCACTGGTTTAGTTTTTTAGGAAAAGTTAGGGATTTCATTGAGAAGGTTTCTCTTATATATACAAACTACGACAAAATAAAATTAAAAAAACATATCGAGAGATACAATAAAACACGCAGTAAAAAAATAATTACGCATATAAGAATTGAATTTAGAAACTTAAACAAAAGGTAAGTAAAATTTGACATGTTATGGGAATATAATAGTTGAGGTATAAAATTCAAATTAAATGTAAACATCCTAAATAAAACAATTTATATTTTAAAGTAAATAATTTTTTTTATATAAATCTAATAGTACTTATTTTGTTTTCAAAGAATATTAAGTTTGCATATTTCATATCTAAAATAATAAGTATCCAAATTTAATACATGATTAATTATATGAGAACATTTGACCATCATTTCATAAAAATAGAAAAGAAGAGGAGGAGACCAAGTAAAGAATCGAAAAGGGGGTTTTGTTCACGCGCCTTCTTTGGATGCGTGTACGGTACCTTTGCTTTCTCCACTCAATTACTTGATTCTTCCACTTCTTTTTTATTCTCCCTTTTTTCATCCTTCATTTTCAGATTTCATTCCATTACAACTCATAAAACTTATTAGATATTGATTTAAATAATATCTTAATTTATGTCTGCAGCAAATCTAGTTTAAGATTTTTATAACAAAATCGTCTAACATACGTATTCTAAACATTATTTGGTAGTTAACGTGCCCATTTTAACAAGGCTTTGACTTAAAATAGTATATTAATGTATACAATAATTGCTTTTTCCTTAATGATTAGATGATGAATGATATACATACGATCTAAATACATGCTTGGAGCGGATTGATTTCGTTGATGACTTTAACTTGCTATGTTGAAAGATTCGTGTTGCTTTCCATTTTAAACGTGCACTCTAATATTTTCCTTTATTTGTTAGTATTTGCACATTAATTTTGAAAACTACATATACATGAGCTCGAATATCTCTATAGTTTATGGATTATGTGCGTGTATGATTGGTATTATTGGGTATTATTCAAGGGTTTAAACTTAGCAAAAAATAAGTTTATGGAATATGTGCGTGTGTGATTGGTATAATTGGTATTAGTGAAGTGTTTAAACTTAGCAAAAAACATAGGTTAAAATTTGATGCTAACAAGATTCTTATAGTTTTTGTTAGTACTTGTCTTTTAATAAAAACTAAACATATTCTATGATGGCATGTCATCTTTCACTATGAGGCGTGTAAACCGTTGTTCATGGTATGTGGTATATCTCTCTTTTTTTTTTTTTAAAGATAAGTTTGGTTTGGGTTTTGGGAGAGTTATGTGGCGCGGCTACTGAATGGTCGCAGCACGTGCCACGTCATTAAATAGTGACGTGACCTTATGTTGGTCATGATGCAGAGCTATCACCAACCAAAATCCTAGGTCTCGGGTCTTGAACATTATTTCAGAATGTGATGCTTATGGTTTGCTTTATTCTCAGTCTCCTTCCCCCATATGCAAACCCTAGTATTGTGATAGTGTTGTTGAGCCTTTGTGTGAATTTTTGGAGTTGTTATTGAAGAAAGTATTGGAGATAATTTCCAAAGTTATTAACTAGTCATAACAGTTCTAAATAATAACAGTGTCTATTTGCGTTGGCCTCAGGACATAATTAGCGATAAGGAAAATGACAAAAATAAGTTGTTATTTTATGATTAATTAATAAATTAATTGGAAATTATTTTGGTAATTAGTTAAATAGTTTTAATTAATTAAAAGGCTAAAATATTAATTAAATCCTTGAGATTAATTGGAATAACTGATGATTATCATTTGATTATCCATAGTACTCTAGATAGAGTAAGGTAGTATTGATCATTACTTACTGATGAAGTTCAATCAGCAGTTATCAATATCACTATGGATCATAATTTTTGTTTATTCGAAGTTTGTGTACTTTATATTTTCGAGGCTAAAACTTCTATTTGTAGTCACGATCAACTACTCATTTTGTCCAACATATTGCAATCATTTCACAATGTACTGCTGATATGGTGATATTGACTTATGTTTTTAATTAAATTCCATATATGACCATATGCACATAAATAATCATATTATACAATGCAAAATTATTTATGTAAATATGTGCATATATATATATATATATATATATATATATATATATATATATATATATATATATATATATTTGTGCACATTTGTATATTTTGTGCATATTTAAGGAGAATGACTTGAATAAATTTCTAAAAATGATGGGAATGATGAAGCAATATGTTGCTTTTCTTAACTATAATCTACTTTCACAGTCTGAAAAACTGTTGATTATCATTTAATTATTCACAATACTCTAGACAAAGCAAGGTAGTATTGATCACTACGAATCATCATTTCTATCTATCTAAAGTCTGTGAACTTTATCTTTTCCAGTCTAAAATTTCTATCCGCACTCAAAGTCAACTTCTTATTTTGTCCAACCTATTGCAATCATTTCGCAATGTACTGCTGATATGGTGATATTGACTTATATTTTAAATTAAATTTCATATATGAACATATTCAAATAAATAAACAAATTATACAATGCAAATTTATTTATGTAAATATGTGTATATATTTTTATGCACATCTGCATATTTTTTGCATATCGTAATATATAATTTTATTATGCACACACGAATATTATTAATAAACTCAAAATGAAAATTATCTTAAAGATTTAGAGGAAAATACTTTAATAAATTTATAAAAATGATCAGAATGATGAAGCAATATATTGTTTTTCTTAAATAGAATATGCTTATTGCTCAAGATCAATAAACAATTGTCAATATTACTACGGATCATCAATTTTATTTATCCGCGGTTTGTGTCCTTATTTAATCTTTTCAAATCTAAGCCTTTAATCCACAGTTGACTCAACTGTTGATTTCGTAAACACTTCTGCAATAATTTCAAAATGTAATGTTGTTATGGTTACCATTTATAAATCTATCTGTAGTACTCTAGACTGCGAAATGTATTATTGATCAATGCTTATTGATGAAAATCAGCAATTATCAATATTGTTACGGATCATCATTTTTATGTATCTGAAGTTAGTATCATTATAATCTTTTCAATTCTAAAACCTCCATTCGCAGTCAAGTTCAACTGCTGACTTTGTCCAATTCAAATTCTGACTTTGTCCACCCTTCTGAAATCATTTTGACAATATACTTTTGTTATGGTTACCATTTACAAAAATCATATGGTATACCTTTAGAACATTATATATATATATATATATATATATATATATATATATATATATATATATATTATAATGTAAAATACTTATAAACGATTATATATTTATTATATGTTTACTTTGTGTTTGTGTAAGACTATATGAGGTGCAAAAAAAAATTTCTATTGTTAGCCAAACGTACTAATCGACATGTGTAATAAGCTTGTGACAAATTAAGTTATAGTCAACCAACCTTCGATTATTAATTAGTTTGTGAGAGTAGTCACATGTTGTATTTTAAGTTACTTATAATTTTTGATTATGTAATTTTGTTTTAGGCTAGAAATGAATGGTTTCAAAAATGAAAAAAAAATCACAATACAAGCTTACATGCACATGGTTTTCAGTTCTTATGCTTTTAGAGAACCGCACCAATAAACATAAAAAATTGCACCAAAGTCTAGACATGGTTTAAAACCGAAACTACACCGATACAACTCGAAACCGCATTTAAAAACCATAAAACCGAACTGTTGCAAAACTGCACCCAACAGTTTTAAGAATGAAAAAACCGCACCATACGGATTGTGGTTTGGTTTGGCCTTAAAGCTGCACCTGTAAACAGGATAGGAAACGCTTTATATTTCAAATATTGGATATGTATTGTTGTATATATAGAATCCATTATCTTAGGATTACAGCTGTATTGTTTCCTATATATATTGAGATCAATACCCAAAGGG